TCTCTCTCTCTTTCTCTCTCTCTCTCTCTCTTTCTCGCCAGAAAATAAGTGCATTTTCTAGTGTGTAGAGCAAAGAATGGATCAATAATTTTTATTTTACACTCTTTTTCACACCGAAACACACAATTCTTTGGTATAATTATAGATTTTTGCTCACTCTTTCACTCCTTTTATCCACATATAATCAGTTAATATAATTGTTTTTTGTTTGGTTTTCATTTGGAAATATCATGATAATATATTATTATATTTTTAATAAAAAATAATTTTTATAAAAATAAGATTACGATGGCTTTTAAAAAATGCGAATCAAATAGAAGTTATAATGAAAAATGTTTTGTTTGTTACAAAAGTGAAACATGAGTTCTTGTTAGAGCTCTCTTTAGTTTGAAATATTGGTCCAAATACTACAAACAGTATATATTTATATACAATATATTGTATATAAACCCTATTGTATAGGTTTGATACCCGAGAATGGATGTGCTCTTAGCGTTTGTCTTCTTTTTCTTCTTTCATGTATCGATTGGTCACAAATTTAATACTTTTTATATATACTCTCTATTATATGTAAACTTATATTTCTGTATAACACTTATCAAAATTAATTCATATATGTTATAAAGTATACTATTATCTCTATTCTTGACATAAACGACTGGCCAAACCTCTTAATTAAAATTAATTATAAAAATAAAAAACATTTTATTTACAATTTTGCTTATTTCTATATTACAAGCATTTCTTCGCCGATTTATTTTCTAAAAGAGTGCTTAGATTTTCAAAATTAGCAATTATTTACGGCATTATAATTAGTACTATATGTCTATTTTATTTTATAATTAAATAAGAGACACACTTCCGGCTAAATATGTTTCTAACATTGTTAGGAATTAATTATTTTATTAAAATATTATTCCTTTTATTCAATATTAGTTATAAAAACTCCTTCAGGTGTTTTAGGAATTAATATTGTTTATAAAATTATATAAGAGAATAAATAATTAATGAAATTATGAATACAACGGGTGTTTAGCGCCGGACTCTATTGAAGGCCGACAGAAGATGCGGGAGAAATGGTTGCATCAGGTGTTCGACGCGGCCGACAGCGACCAGAAGGGAATGCTTGACGAATGGGAGACAATAGCGTTGATGAAGAAGTTAAACGATAAGCTCTGTATCAGAAGTTTGAAGCAAAAGATAATGGAGTTTGAGTTCGGAAAGGATGAGGAAGAGAGGGGAAGGATCAGCAAAAAAGTGTTCATTACGTTGTTTACAGAGACGGCTACCAGACCTGACATTTACTTTATTCTCGTCCGGTATGTAATGGACTCTAACTCTTTGTGTTTGCAGATAATCAGTAGAAAATAGACTTTGAATAATATATTATTTTTGATTCAATGCACATAATTATACTGAATGTTAGGTATTGTGGGAGAGATTATATGACTGTTGAAGACCTGCAACTGTTTCTGGAGGGCGAACAGGGAGTGTGTGGTCTTAGTATTGAGGAATGTCTGGATCTCATTACCAAATACGAGCCCTCAGAAGAGGCCCGAAATAATAAACAGCTACTCATCGATGGCTTCACACAATTTCTACTCTCAGAAGAATGTGATATAATGTCAGTTCATCACAAAGATATCTGTCATGACATGTCTCAGCCATTATCGCATTATTTCATCTCAACCTCTCATAACACGTCAGTCTTGTCTCATCCCTATTGAATATAACAGTAATCTTATAATTCATTATATTCTTCTACAACCAGTTATCTACTCGAAGACCAACTAAAAGGACCGTCAAGTGCTGAAGGATATGCCAGAGCTCTACTCCAAGGTATTGTCCATTGAAGACATTTGCATTGTTTGATTGCTTAACACAGATATGCGATCCTATTATGAAAGGGTGTCGTTGTGTGAAAGTGGACTGTTATGATGGAAATGA